TCTGTTGTAAGATTTTCCTACTTAAAAAATGACTACACTGTTCAGCTCACTTGAAGCTGAACAAACATGACAGAGAGATGGTGTGATGCACGCAAGCTTCATTTTCTCACGAAGCCAAGCTAAAAAAAAACAACCCATATATGCCTAAGAAAATTTTCAGCCAACATTTGAGATGCTTGCCATTAATTATCAAAATGAAGAAGCAGAGTGTGCTAACACAACATTGATTCAAACCACCAGAAATCAATTTATCAAAAAATAGATGTGTTGAAAATAATACATAAAACACATTAGACTTGTACACTGCCCAGTATCTCTAATTTCTGCACCTGGCCTTGTTTTAACAGCCTCCAACCCTAAAAATCATCTTGCTTTCCCCAAACTCTAGAGGATAAACAGAATTTAGAAGGACCGTTTTCTTCCTTAGGTGCCAGAGAACCTTTGTCTTTTAAGGTTGTTTATTCAAAGTAAGTAAATTGAACTAGGTCAGCCTGAATTATGGAGATGTTCTTCAGAGTGCCTGTGTTCCTGGAGCATCTCTGGAGGACTGCTAGTCTGCAAGGTGTCTGCCACCAACCCGTCCTCTTGGCTGTTGTTGCTCACAGAGCTTCTGTGCTGTGACAAACATACCTATGCAGGCTTTGCAGAGCAGATCTGGATTTGTTGATGCAAAAAGATGTAGATGCTAAACATGCATTTATTGTGTCACTGTTTCTGTTGCTGTAAAGTCAGTATTTTAAAGGCTTTAAAATTCCTGGAAATGGATTTTTGATTTATTCTGATAACAGTGTTCTGGTGCTTATTCACTTGCCATCTGTGTTCTGAAGGCCAGTTGGGAACTATGGCTCTTACAAATCATCCCGTTTATTTTGCATTAATCCAGACCTTCCTGCACTTCACTTGGTAGTTGTAAATACAGTTTATAATTAATACAGAACGTGGTTCTTCTGCCCTGTGACTTGGAAACATTAAAAGACAGCATTCAGTCATAGTTTATGCATCTGGTAATGCAGACTGGGTTTTTAAAAAAGCCCAGAAGAATTAGGCATTCAAATTTCATTAAAATGCTGTGGAAGTGAAGCATATAAGCTCTATTAAAAGGCTCAGCCATTATCTATAGCTCTTGGGTTTTTTTTCTCCAATTTAATTTGTTCATAAGCCTGCTTTGGGGAGAGAAATGGACAGGGCTGATTTTGCTCACCTTTCCTTCTCCTTGGTGTTGAGAAACAGCCCTGCCTTAGAGCTTGAGCATGCTGTGGCTCACTGAGTTCTTCCATTTTGAACTGCAGCTTCATGTACCCACACAGGTACTGTTTGTATAATTAAAACCTCATTTTCCTATCTGTAAAAATGAACGTAAGTATCTGATCAATAAAACTGGTGATATAGCTTGGTGAATACGATGTTGAAAATTATTTACCCATATATATATATTTGTCTATTTATCTATCTCTCTATCTATGAAATTCTGGAAATTATCTGTACTTTTTAACACTCTGAAATTTACAGGGAGAAAAAGCTGAATTAAAATCAGTGCAGAAAATAAAATTGTGCTACAGAATATAGAATAATTGGATATGTTGCTTTAAAATACAATGCAATATGACTGTTACCTGTAATATTCTGTCACATGTCTAAGAGAACACAGAAGTTTCCTTTATATGCAAGAATGAGGAAAGTACAAAATGATAAATATAATGAAGAGAAAGATGAGAGATCAATAGGATACATAATCACGTGAAGGAGAGTAAGTAGGGAGGGAAGTTTGTTCTCCAGTCAGAAGGGATTGCTGCAGCAGTACAGAATATGCAGAATTTCTGCAGGAAGGAGTTAATCATTGTGCCAGCAACACTCAGCCCCTATTTATTGCAAAAGAGAATTAATGGTTTTCCTGCCTGGTGCTGAAAATAGAAGTAAAATTTAAGTTGTTTCTTGAAGGCAGATATAATTAGATTGTGAAACTTGTGACTTTTGGGTCTAAATAATAGGACAAGAATGACTACCCTAAATCAGAACAGAGTGCAGTCTCTTAACTGTTTCTTAGGAGTGAGAATAGGACAAGCACAGAGTGATACTTTTCCCCATTTTCCAGCTGTGAACAATGTACACTCTACTTATACTGTAGATAAGGTGCATCATATATTTATTATCCCTTGCTGAACGCTTTCTCTACAGATTGTTCCAATTATTTATTAAACCCATTTATATTTCTGTTAGCAACAACATTCTTGTAACAATAGACTATACTGTGTGGCTGTGAATTGTACGGAAAATTTCTGTTTGATTAAAAGTGTGATACTTGGTGCTTGTTAAGTTTTATGATAGGATGATTAGCTAGCAAAGATTTCTTACTAACTAACTATATTAGATTCACTTTTATATACAGTTATTTCTTCTCTTTCATCTCCTTTTCAAGTGGAAAAGTACTTTCATCCACCCTCATACAGTTACAGCAGTGTACTGCTATTCATCTGTGTTGTCTAGTATACACCATTGCTACTTCTAATAAACCTTTGGACATGGATCATTCAGACTTAGGTGAAGTTTTTGGGATGTGGATGGGGTCTGGATTTATACAGTGGTGTAATATTGTTTCTTTTCATTTTTACATAATGATTTTTAATTCAGTTTACATTGTCTGTCTGCCACTGAGCACTGGACAAATGTTTTCAGAGAGTTGTCAACAAGGAGTCAAAGATTCTTCCTGAAGTGGTACTAAATTATTTATTTGTTTCTTATTTGTCACTGTGTACGTACAGTTAAACTTCCCCTATGTGTACTACTTTGCATGTATCGATATTAAATAATGTCTACATTTCTTGTTGCTGAATCACTCACTGTTCAGTATAATGACACCTTTTGAGGTATTGAATGTTTTGAGTAATTTGTATCACACTGTTCAGTATAATGACACCTTTTGAGGTATTGAATGTTTTGAGTAATTTGTATCATCAGCAAACTTTACCATCTCATTATTAATTCCCTTTTCCAGATCACTACAGCAACTGGCATTCAAAAGCTGGCTGACATCTTTAAAGAACTATTAATACCATCATTTTAATCATCTAACAGTAAATTGAAACCCCCAAATTTAGTTTCTTTATTTGCAAATATTACATTATTTGTGTACTAAGAATATCTCAATTATTTTTACTATTCATATGAAGGTTTCTAGCTGTTAGTGACAATTTCTGCAGAAAAGTTATTTACTATGATGCCAGAAGCTCCAGAGCAAGGTGCAGCTTTTCACTGACCCTGAGTGGAGCATGGTTTCTTTGCGATATAAGTCTTCTATTTATTTTCTGTAAATGACACATCCCTGAAGCAACAGGGAGGGAATGAAAGTTACATTTTATCACAGTAGCATTTGCAGAAAGGTGAACTGTGAGTGTCCCTATTTATAATGAAGCTTGGGCCAGCCATGAGTTCCTAAAAACCTTACCTGCAGGTGCTTAATTTTTTTTTATTAAAAAATTGATATCTGAGCTTTATGAACTTATGATTAAACTTTTAAAATAAATTAAAGGTGAGAGGATTAGATGTGAAATTGGAAATGAACTATGGTATCTTTTGCCTCTAGCTCAGCATTTTGAAGGCAATCCAAATGAGATGTGACAAAGTGCAGTGCACTCTTTTTTTTAATTTTGCTGACCTATGTGAAAGTGGAGTTTGGTCTCTGCCAAGTTCTTTGTGTGTGAATAGCCACATCACTATCCCTGCTACTGTAATTAGCACTATTAGCCCTTTATTAGGATTTAAAATAAATAGGCCATGATTTAGATAGCAAAGAGACTAAATCACCCCCTTAGATGATCCACCCAGACTAGAAGAACAGCCAGCTCCCACCAGCTCTCCTTTTTCCACTGTTTGACACAAGTTACAAAAGTAAGTTTTACGTGGCTGATACATCCAGGTCCCATGTTGCATCCTATTTGAAACTTAAAGTATAAAAATCCTGTTGAAGGACAGTTCTGAGTGTGAGTTGAATGAAACTGTATTTTAGTCTGTTATGGGTCTTGGCTATTCTTGGGCAATTCCTTCCTGATGGGAAGAACTTCGGCAGAATTCCTCATGATGTCCAAAAAGGTGCTCCTACATCTTCAAACTCCAATCTAAACTTCACACACTTCCTCAAGAGAATAAAGTTAATCTACATTGGCTTTTGCTTATAATGGCCTTGATGCTGTTTCTGCTGCCTGTTTACTGTTAGTCTGCCAGAAAATCTTCAGACCTGTGGGTACAACCAAGTTATCTCTCCTAGTCTTCCTACACTTATATAAGTCCTCATGCAGTAGTAGGTGCCCTGGGAGGGAAAATGGGAAGTGTTTTTTAAGAGAAACATTGCATGCATCTTAGTGTTTACATGAATGCACCTACAGCTGGTGGTGATCATCCTACCCCTTTTCTCTTTGCTTAACCAAAACCCCAGCTGCTGCTTCTCTTTTCCCCAAAGCACCTAGTGGATTTTCTGTTGCTTCCTCCATCTGAACTTTTAATCTGCTCCATGGAGAGGAGAGGAAGACTTAGCAGCTGGAAATGGCCCAGTCCTTCAACCACACTGCTTGCCAATGGTTGCTGGGTGAACAGAGGGCCGGTAATCCTTATCCTGCTGCCATTCAGAGCCCCAGATGATGTACAGCGTACAGCAATGCTTCTGGACAAAGTATGATGGCACAGAAATCTGTCATTGCTCTTCTGGGGCAGTGATCATTATCCAAATGGTCTCTACGTTGTGGTAATGGGAAAAATATTGATGGCCTCAATGTCTATTGCATTGGATTATTTCAAAAGTGATTAGCAATGACACTGGAGCCAATGATGGGTGATACACTACTGCCCTGCTTTAAAAGGCCTACATGTTATGTCAGCAGTATGCTGGTATTCAGCCTTCAAACAGATGCATGCCTTCAAATCACACAAACACTAGCTGTTATTCTGGAAGAAAAGAGCAGCAGTGTAAATGTGCTTTTTTTCATATTTTCAGCAAATTCTGGTCTATTTTAAGTTTTTATTCAAAATAACTATTTGGACTTAGTATTAGAACAACAAAAACATGCTGTGTCTTTCAATGCAGACAAAAACTTAAGCAGTCAATATGCAATTCTTGAAACAATGAGAATTTCAGCAATCAAGTATGAGGCAATTCTTGTTTCCCACACTAGGTCAGCACTTTCTTGTAGAGTTAGTTCATGTCGTCATAGTGTGCTCCACGGAGGTGACTCATTTGTGTATTTTGGAGTTCAGACAAAGCCTACTAGCTGACTTTTCTCTGTTACCTTCCACATGTTTTCCTGCACTTGGAACAGCACAGTCTGCCTGCTATCTGCAAATGAAACAGCTTCTCATCTATATTTTCCTTACACACAAAGAGACTTCTAAGTGTGTCAGGCTATGGCTGAGAAAGCTAGATTGCATGCTACCTGAAAATTTTCACAGAGGGATCTAAAAATGATCTTGTTTAATTAACAGATAGGGGTGTTTTTCTGTGCTGGTCCAACTATTTGACAACTGCTACAGCTTGTAAAGTTGAGTATAATTACACAGGGCTGAAGATCCCTAATAATGCAGTAGTTTTTCATCTGTATAGAAGTAACTCTGCCAGAATGGCTGTATTCATATAGACATTACTGCAATACATGATACCAGATGTACCATTTTAACTATCTCGGTATTGTTAAAATGGGCAGTTTAACATTTATGTGTGTAAAAAGCCTTTAAGCAGAGAAATGCTCAATCTGTTCTCCATTTTGGAAAAGTATTTATTACCTTAGGAAGATTGTAGTCACCTTGACAACATGAAGCTTTGCTCAAACTCTATCAGTTCAATTCTCTCTATGTAGTCAGACATGAAATTGAGTTACAGTGGCTTAATGGGTTACCACATGTCAGTGGAGACGAATCTGTGTGCAGTCCAGTAGCCCATTGCCAATACAAGGCAAAAATCATTAGATCAAACAACTCCATTTCACAGAGGTTTTAAAGAGTTTTTTCTTCTCATGTATGCTTGTAGTCTAAGAATGAACACACAATCTATTGCTATGTTCAGCTGAAGACTAAGGCATTATTAAGCAGTAATAAGTTGATCTTGTAACTGAACTACAAATCAGAATTTTTAAATAATTTAATGAAATCAGTTTTAAATTACTGAATGGGAATTGAAAACATGTATATAAGAAATTAATCTGTTTTATATGCTGACAAAATAACACCTGTAGTGAGTGCATTTAGTTCACTTATATACTGATGACTGGATATTTTCAGAGGCAGCTTAGAATCCATGATTTCCATTTGAAACATTTCCAGGTGTGTTTAGGCAGTTTTTTCCCATTTATCCCTAGAATTTCATGTTTATGCTTGTTTCAAGAAAATTACACGATCTTTTGGACTTCAGACAATTTTACCTTCATAATGAATCTTCTTTTTTATTTTTTCAACCTGTCACAGATTTGCTGACATATAAAGAAACACCTTTGGAGAGCCAAACCGCAACGTTATGAACAAACAGCTATATTTGGGTTTGATTCTTAACAAAACCATGCTCTTTGTTTTGTAAGTTTTACTAAAAAAGATAAAATAATTACTATACTTAAATTAATGGCTCAATAGATATCTCATCTCTTGATTACAATTATGCTTATAGCAAGAACATTGCCATCAACTGTAATGCCTGAAAATGTTGTGAGAACTTCAAGAAACCGAGATCTGACTACACATCATCAAGAAATGCCTCTAGGGTAATGTGTTGAAGAAAAAGAGGGTTCTGCTCTTTCAGAATTAAAAAAGAATGTGGTCATATTAAAGTTTATGTTAGTTTCATCTTAGCTGACACTAAAGAACATAATTATTTGCAAGAGAAATTTGTAAGTAAATATTGTCAGCATTTTTTCACACTTTTTTGTTGTGAAACAGAAACCATTGAATATAATGAGAAGGAAGTTAAGAAACTCCCTCTCAGGATACCAGGAGTTTCTTACATATTGCCACACCCTGTCAGTAAAAAACAGATCTCTTAATTGCAGCTAATCTAGATTGCTTGAAACACTGTACTGCAAGCACCCGGCCAAGTTCTGTTTAGCAGCAATGCTTACAGTTGCTCCTGGTGTCAAAAACTCCTGAGGTCAGAATTTTATCACCACTTCTTTAGCTTACTAGCAGATTCTCCCTCTCATTTTTGAGGGCTGTTGGGATTTTTTTTTTGTTTTGTTGTGTTTTTTTGTTGCTTTAAGAAAAAGAGAGAGAAGAAAAAAAGCTCTAAACACTGAGCTATTATCTATAAAATTGATTTATGATGGCTTATGAAATTTACCTGTACTTCAGTTCTTGAGGAGAAAAACAGTTAGGGAGTAAGAATACTTCCATAATTATGCTCATCAGTCTCATTTTTGGTATCTTTTTTTAGCCATGAGTAAAAGCACAAATGTTCTTTTCAAGTAAGGTGGACCTGAGACTGATTTCTCATCAACCTCTAAATAACCTGTCTGTAGTAACTTCTGGTTCGCCTGGATTGGATTAGGTTTGGCAGATTGGAGGTACACTGCTTTCCTGGAAATCTCAGGGAAAAAAAAGCTCCCAGGAAGTCAGTTTTCCACTAAATTGTAAAAAAGTTTTATCAAGTTTTTTTTTTTTTTTTAATCTTAATCTTTGTGCAGCATTAATTTGCATATTTCATTCCTTACTGTAAATTTTGTTCCATGGCAATTGCATTGCTTTTTATAACTGTGCTGTGAATGAAGCAAGCCTTAGAACTATTCTTTTCTATTTTGACTTTTTTATATGTGTTTCTATTTATAGATAAGGATGGGCCCAACTTCCCACCTTTTGATAAGTAAAGAATAAAACAGGTAATTCTATGATAAGGCCTGTCAGAATCAGTCAAAGGGAACATGTTATTTTTAGTCCTACTGACTTTTAGGATAAAAGCTTAAAGGGAGGAAGATCAACATATAACTGAAATTAAGCCCTTGACAATGCCTATTCTGCTGTGTAATTCATAAATTAATGGGTCATGAAAAGACCTTTAAAGAATGTTATCCATCAGAAATACTACCTTTGTATGTGCAGTGCCTGTATCCCAGAAACCCTTGTGTTGAATTTGCCTTACTAGGAGCCTGCAATCCTTTTGAGAAAGGATGAAAGGACCATAAAATAAGTTTATGTTGTTCAGTCACCGAATGTTATAAATGACTAACACAATATAAGCAAACCAGTAAATCTAATCTTTTGCAATATGTGTATTTAACAGTCATAAAATCTACTTTTGGGGATGTTGATATTAGACCTTTGTTTTAGATGATGCTTGCCATATATCTAAATTTTTTAGATCTCTGAATAAAGCTAATTTTTCTTTCTAGAAGCAAACATATAATTTCCAAGGTGACAAGAAATCTCCCACAGAAATTGTACAATAATAGGATCTAGTAAATGCTTGCTATTCAAAAGTTTACCACCACAGCATCTGAAAACCTCATCGTGAAGGTAATAAACAAAGCATGACTTCCCATCTGTCTTTTGTTTTTTTAATTATCCACTTGACAGAGAAAGAAATGTGCATATTAGAATAATGTGGGATTGTTTTGCTGATTTGTTTCCTATAATGACATATAGTGTGATATGCAAATGTGTATGTGAATAAAGAAATATGCTTTGCATTGGCGATAAAAGGGGGTTAAGCGCTTTTCTAATTTTTATTAGATATTCAGGAATGGCTCTCAGGAAATCCCAAAAATTATTCACCCCACAGTCAGTTTTAATTTTACCATGTAGGCTTCATTGTATGACTTTTGACCAAGGCGGTTTCTCTGGAAATTTATCAATCTTGGTCCTTGTACCATGAAATTCCTTACAGAGCAAGACTTGAACATTTGTCATTCTGTAGGGAGCTGGACTAGCAATCCAGAAACCAAAGGGTTTGCTTATGATGGTGCTCTTGCAGAGGAGGTGATCAGGAGTGCCCCTGGCATGCTGAAGGGATGCAAGGTCTCTTGCCCAGGGTATATCCAGTAGCTGGGTCAAGGAGAGAGCTGACATGAAAAACCACAGTTAGTTTACTGGCCTGTCAGGGAGCCTTGGGTCCTGCCAGAGTCAGGAGAGAGCCTTGTCCATAGATGTTGCTGTGCAAGAGCTGCCTAGCTTTGAGGAATGCAGGAATGCTCCTGGAGCGTGGGTTGTGCTGGCCAGTCACTCCACCATAGACTTTTTGATTGCTTACACTTCATCTCATCTAGAAATAGCATTGACTGGAAAAAAGTAAGAGAGTGTTTTGTTTGAATAAGACCAAACTTGTAAACTTGAAACAAAGGCTTTCTGCTTCTACGTGGCCTTTATTTTCTTGATGAATTATTTTCAAAATTAATTTTTGTCAGTTTTTTTCCTTGTGATTGATACATATAGAATGCTATGAGATTGCAGTATGGTAGTTCTCTTACCAAACTTCAAATGGGATCAAAATCAGGGAAGGAAACAGATGTTGCAGTGATTTCCTTGCACACATGCAGCCCTTCTTTCCTCCACACCATGGTGCTTATTGCAGGATTGCTTTTGGCCTCACTGCTTCTCAAGATGCTGTCTCCTACCCCGCTGCTGCTCAGTAGAAAATGGCTCTATGTTTTGGCACTGACTGTTTTGATCTCTATTGCCCTGGCTTGCTAAAAGCTGACTATAGAAACTGCTTTTCCCTCTTTCTATAAAAGTATGTTCAACTACAGGTCTTTTAATTTGATATGTAGAAGTGCCACAGTTTTGATGCTTAAACTTCCTTCACCAAGCCAAAAATAATTTGAGTTAGTTAACTGCCCAGACAAAGTTAGATTATTGTCTGCTATAATGCACCCTAGGAGATAAGCCACGATATGTACTCCATTTGAAAATGCAGTGGGTTTGTTTTATTAAACTTTGCCATATAATATGGAAATGATGAATTGTGGGCACCTTGTTCTAAGAACTGTGTTTTTATGGAGCAGGTGCAGAGATCACCAGATTGTTACATTTGGGTTGTGCATAAATCCAAATAGATAAAACCCAAGTGTTCCATTTATTATGTGTAGATTTAAAGATATTATATCTTTGTATCAGTTAGGTGTATCTTGCATCAAGGTAAGTTTTAAAATAGAAGATCATGTGTGTATGCATTTTCTTCAACATGATTTCTAGCTTGCAATTATTGCCTAACATATTTAATATTTCTGTGCCCTTCAGCTCTGTAACACTGTCTCACGGCAAGTAAAAGATTAATTCTCTTCCTTCATCCCAAAAGGCAAAGATAGATTTTGTCATTCCATAGTTATACACTTGCATATATAATAGAAGAAAAGTAATTTACTTTTCTGCCTATTCTAGATAATGTCACATAGAACTTAGGCACACTTACAAATCTAGAATCTCTGTCAAAATGCTTTACAAGTCATTTCCTATCTTGTGTAAAGCCTTCCCACAGCCACACAAGGAATTCATGAAATCTCCAACAGCTCTATGGTAGGTCATTTCAAGCTGACAAATAATGCAGTAAACTTTCACTTCACAGAAACACAGGTTTACTTCTACAAGTAAGGCCAGGATCTCCTGAAAGAAGGGGAGAGTGTTCAAGTTTTTTTTTAGAGGGCATAATGTTGTTATCACTTAGATCTCAGCTGTGTGACTGTGAAGTCACTCTCTAAAATCTGAAGATTAATATATTTTTATTATGTAGAAACTGATTATTCACTTTCAACAGAGCCATTTCTTTCTGCCACTTGGCATATACCACTATGCAAATCCTTAGGATCTTTGAAATGGAAGGAATAGGCAGTAGTGCTGACCCTTCCCACCTGTCCCATCAGCTAGCTGTTCATATTTACTATCACGTATGGATGTTATAGCAGAATCATTTTTACATCTACAGAGCTGCAGGATGCTGTATCTCTAGCTGAGCCATTATATCCCAGCTTTCTCCCTAGCCATGCTTTTGCACCTTGAGTACAAAGCTGGGACTTGAAAATAAAGCTAGATGTTTATTTTACCTGTTGACCATCTGTACTGTGTACACACTGAAGCAATTCAGTCAAAAAACAAAATTATTAAAGCTTCTGTCAAAATCCAAAGGGGAAATGAATATTTGGGGTTTTACAGATCCAAGCTTCTCCTGCTTCCCAGTTTTTGGTGCTTAGTTTACTTGGAAGGGTCAGAAAATTCAAAATCTAAAATCCATGGGGCTATTGCATCTGCCCAACACTGGAAATTTCAAAACATCAACTGATCTCAAAACAACCTCTCATCCTGAGAGGAAATAGCTGAGAACTTTTAATGAATTTAAACGTACTCTTGCATTGTAATTTGGAGGATAGCTGAAGCGACACAGGAGAACAGGAGGCACATACTAATCAGAGAAGAGCTGTACTGATTTTGCATGTTATATGTGTCTGAGTGTTGATGGAGCTTTATGAGCCCATCACAGAGGCAATGGCTGGCTGAGTGGACCAGGAGACATCTAAGAACAAATAAGATAGCTGGGGAAATGAAAGTCAAGAAGTTTCTCACATTTACCCACTTAACCAGCTTAAGTAAACTCCTAGCAACAAAACAGTTGGTGAAAATATTACAACAGCAAGTTTCAGGTTGACTTGCTAAAGACATCTCTGGCAAACAAGGTAGTTGCAGAAGTAATTTAATGTATTTCTACATGTTTGTGTTCAAACAGAAGCGTACAAAACTAATGGGGTGGGGTAGTTATGAGAGACTGTGCCCCTGAAAAGTCCCACCAAAATAAGATTTTAGCCTGAAAATATGAACAGGAGTGTCATCCTTCTTCCTTACCCCTATACAGTAAGCCATGTGTCTCCTCTTTCAGGTGGCAGACAGGTGTCCAGAAGGCAGATCTCACTGCGTGAGAAACATGGGAGGTGTTTGCCTCCACTAATTTGTCTGGCTATCAAGCTCAGTTACTGACCACTGGGCTCCAAAGCGAGGAGTGAAAGCATGCTTTGCCATGGTTTAATGGTCTTCAGGCCAAAACCTCTCCAGTGATGCACTATTAAAAGTGCAAATCACAAAGTGATCAGAGCAGGGACCACAACATGGACTAGAACTGTGACAGTTCACACTTCATAATTAAACTGACAGCAAGATTAAGTAAGGGTTTCTTTTATAAAATGAAAATGAAGAGTACAGGATGGTAAGAGGTAATCTGCCTTTCAATAGAAATAAGATATGAAACATGTATTCTCGTGTTTGTACTGGATAAGATCCTATTCAATGCTGATGATGTAATATGTGAATGTTGGCTGGAAATAAGATGATTTACATTTATTATATGCTATGCCATGTAACGATTATCTGAAGTATCTTTTCTTTGTCATGATTTAAAACCAGATCTTATCATGTCATGGAAAATATGAAAAAAAAGATTTTGTGAACACTGTATGTGTGCATATATTATCTTACAATGCTTGCCACTTATGAGGATATAGAAAACAAACTGTTTATTCTCAAGAGAAGTTTAAAGTATTAATTATTTTGAATGCTCTTTAATATAATTGGTACTTTCAAAGAACTTGACTTAGAAAATTAGGAGTTTCTAAAACAAACACCCAACAAACAAACACCCAACAATTCTTTTTGGGCTTCATTGCAGCTAGTTGTGCATACTTAAATGAGACTAAGATTTTCCCTAAAATTGTTAAAACCATGTATGTTTAAAATGGTAACTAATTTCTAATAACACCTTTAAATCACAGTATTTACATTCCTGATCCAAAAGACAACAAAGAAGTCACAGAGACAGAATTATTGTCCATATCTGTAGATATATGCCATGGTATGGAAACATAGAAAATGTTTTTTTTCCCCTAATGCTTGTAGTTTTCATACTTTGTTTTTCTAAGTCAGAGTGCTTCAGACTGGGGTCTCGGTATCTGATTGTGGAACAGCTCCATGAAGAGAGATTGTGAGCAGTGCTTCTTAGACTAGCTGAGACCCTGTGGGGCAGAACACTCATTTGGATAATGAGATAATATCACCATCAGGTCTTAAATAGGAATCTCCAACATTTGACTCTTCACTACCACATTCCTTGCTATTAAATTGTTGTGGTCTGTTTGGTGTTTTCCTGAATGTATTAAATCTTTCTATCCTCAACAACTAGTGTGATCTTGATGATATGATTAATTTGACAACATTTCCATATTTCTTAAAAAAACCCTTCAAACCAACTGGATTAACTCTAGGTTAGTTCAGAAATATATCACACATTGTCATCATAAATAAATTTGTTTGACAGTACCTATACATGTGTTCTTTGTTCACTATTATAATTCTGTTATCTAATTAAAAACTGTTCTTCTCAAAACATGAAATATGTTTTAAAAGGATGTTAAAATGAAAAAAAAGTTAAGTTCTTTTAGTCTGTTTACTGTCATTCTTGACCATCCAGCTGTATCACACTTTTAACTTTTATACACTATAACTTGAAATTTACTTGATTTTTGTTAATGGTGGGATTTTCTTCTATTCCTTTGTCTCAAGGAATTGTGGCTCTAGGATAGCATGGTGACTAATTACTATATTGAGACAGTGATATTGCTCAAACAGAGTGGTATAAAATGATGCATAGAGGTCTCCTTACGTTACACTGTCATGATGTCATTATTGGAAAATTCTTCAGTGACATAGATTCAAATGAATATTTCTTAATAAGAGCCACGTTTTATATTTTTGAAAATATTTATTTTATTTCAGAAATTGAAGTTTTGGCTGTGTTGTAAATTTTGGTATCACCACTTCAATATAGATAAATATAAGTGATACCCATAAAAAAAGCAATCTTAGCTCTCCTTATAGAGTGATGGCCTCTGAATTGAACGTTACCACTTAGGAATGAGATCTCAGAATTTTAATGAATAGTTCTTATGAAACCACCAATTTAATGCTCAGCAGCAATAAAAATGTAAATTGAATGTTAGGAATTATTAGAAAAGAAATAGAGAACAAAAGAAACTGCATAAATCCCTACAGAGTTCGTGTCCCCTCTTCTTAAAAAACTGTAGTGGAGAACTGGGAAAAGTTCAGAGAAAGGAAACAAGTAAAGTATAGAAATGCCTTCACATGAAGAGTGACTTATGGGTCTTCTAAGTTTTTAAGAAAATAATATGGAGACTAATGGTTCCTGGTCTCTTTCCATAATTTTCTTTCCATTAAGATCTAGGTGTCTATGAGCCCAGCATTTCAAAGCAGTTCAAAGCTACCTCATGTTTTTCCTTATGCAGTGCATACTTAAGTGTGCAATTTGTTGGTGTGTATTATGTGTGCTGTGAGATAGCAGAGGCAGAAAAACTACACAAAAATAATCCGTGGAAGAAGATCCCATTGTGAAAAACTAAACACAAAGGCTGGCACAGGAGGTCCCAAACACATCTTCTGAGAAAGCCACCATTGTGTGTTTTCACACCCTTCCCTTGGCATCTGCTGTTGATTACTGTCAGAGACTGGCTCCTGGGCCAGGTAGACCTTTGGTCTGAGTAGGACTATTCCTATGATGTGTAGCAGCACCAGAATTATTTATCAGTGGAGGAGCTGGGCTGATTAGGTAGTTTTACTGAGAGCAGATGGTACTTCTTGAATCTGAAGAGTTTGTGTCTGTAGGATAAGCTTATGTATTCAGATGTTGATGCTTGATACGAACTAAATGTAAAGAACACAGGATGAGCACAGGATGAAAGGAAGAATCTGTGCTTCTCAGGACTGTTACAGCAGGCTGGCTGAACAGAAAACAGACTGGGGGCATGGGCAAGAAAATTACATGAATAAGGCTTCAAACTGTCTTGTAGTGGTGAGTGGACGTGGCTTTACTCCCTGCTCCTAACTTGATAATCCTGGGCTTTGAAAGAGTGCATAAAGAGTAATGTTTACACCATGATGACCTGCTATGAAATGTAAACAAATGCCACCTTTTGCTTGCCATCTGATAAGGCTGATGCAGATTGATGCTTGTTTCTCACACCATTGTCTTTAGATGGGTGAGAAAGGCCAAGAGCATGGACCACAGCCATACAGCAGAGCCTTGAGGCCAGTTAATGTGCCTGAGTGTGCTATTTATCATTGTACATATAACCAGAGTGCCTTTTTAGTGTATTTTTAGCCCCTTTTACCCAACTGACAAGAGCAAGACTGGAAAAAAAGTATAAGTATAGACTCTCTTATTTTGCAGAAAAGCAATAACTGTGATTCTGGTTTATATTAGAGCAACTTGAAAAACTGCCCTGTCCTGGCAGCCCTCTAGACTTTATGTCCAAACTTAGATCACACGTGTTCAAGCTTATATCACATATAACTGCACAAACACTTGCTCACTTGAATAAACCTCTGGGCTGCTGGGCACAGTTATATCAGCATTTACCTAAGTTCAACATTTATGTTCCTCAAGAAAGGCTACCACTTAATTTTTGCTTTTTCTCAGAATTAAACAAAACCTTGAAATTTCAAAATTTACTGAGAAATGACATTTGGGAACTGCTTTACTTGAAGTCATCAAAAGAACTCTTTATCAAAGACTTCAATGAAATCAAACCAGTTTGATTTGCCTTTATTATTCTACTTTCAAGTGATAACATATTTGAAACATAGTATATAGTGATTTAAGTGATGAGGTCCAACTGAAATTATGTAACCTTTTAGAAGTAAAACCAAACAACTTTCTTTAATTTTTTTGATGAACTCAATACATTTCTACAGATCATTGAGTCAGCACTTGCTAATGAAAAGCAGTTCTTCTGGAACTGCTTCAAATAGTCCTTGCAGGATATAAGACTTTTAAAATTCCAGACTGTAGATAAAAGCCCTCCTCCTCCTAAAAAAAAAAACAAAAAAAAACAAAAAAACAAAACCCTTTTGCTCTAAAAAGCAAAATTACTCAAACTAAACAAATGTTTATGTTTTGTGCCTGCATGTCACACATGAGTGCCTGTGAATATAGTCTAACACATTTGACAGTTCTGCTGGTCTGATTTAGTACTTAATTCTGCTTTTTTTTATCCCCCAAATTTTTGCACAATATCTGCTTTCATCCTTACTTATTAATACTGGCTAGAGTCTGTGTTATATTCCATCCCATACAGCAATGCTCATAGGAGCATTTTGAAGTTAAAATAATATTCCAGCATCAATTTTATACTCTGCTGTGTTATAATTATTCTTTCATCTTTGTTTTTAAATGCTATTTTGGAAACCACAGATACTCAGGCTTCATACCTTGCTTACCAAAGGAACAAAGACTGAACACTTCTTGGCTCCAAGTGTCAATCAGGACATAACAAGTTAAACAGCAGTTAACACATTGGCAGATGAGTAACACCGAGTGGTTACTAAGCAGAGCCGAATGCTGTTTGTCCTAGTCTACCTCAGCAGCTTGATATATTTACTTATTCATCTGCATCTGTTAGGGTGTAGCCAATGTCAGTAATGGGTAATTTTCCCAGTAGAGGCAAGGTTTTGGGGCTTGTCTTACAAAACCATCCAGACCTGGAGGATATTAAACTGTGATTAAACTAATTGATTTCAATAGGTGCTAATCATGCACGCTCTGGCAAGGCACAGTGATGAAAAACTTTAGTGTGCCCTGTCCCTTGGACAGCAAATGTGTATCACACTTCACCCAAATTCTCCTATTAAGATGATATTTTTTTTCCATCACAGTTTGGGTATGTGTTTGGTTTTCCTCTAGCTGTACCCCATGCTGAGTGGGTTCACTTTATCAATGTCAATTTCCTACTTGGGAATAGCCTGTGGGTAAGTCAGGTTCACATCAGTGTAAGGAGATGTTACAATTTAATGACTATTACAGGATCTGATTTAGCAAATAGAAATGGCCTAGCAAGTTGTCCCGCATATCTGCTTAAATACTTCAGTGGTAGCACTTGCTGTGCCCTGACTGGTAGATCTGGCTGTGGCAGGTTGCTGTTTCGTGCTTGGTCTCTCATTGAGGTGGGTCTGAACACAGACACTCCACGACTCCCATCTTTGTGCCAACAGCAAGGAGTGGGTGAGCAAAGGATGTGAAAAGCAGCTCCATGGTAAGGACTGATAAGGAGCCAGGAATCCCAGCAGCCTGTAAAGGAAGGGACTTAGGGAATGGGGCAGGACAGAAACCTATCCTACTTTCTCCATGCACCTGCCAGTGCTCACCTGCTCCATGTTCTCACCCTGGCATGGTTTTTTACCTCTGAAAGACATTGTGAGCATCCCCAGGACCATCTCATGTTCCTTCTTCCTCCCTTCCCATCTCCTGTGGAAACAAACCACTGGCAGCTTGTCAGCCTGGGTCCTGTGTCTTCCATGTTGACTGTAACTTTTACTTAAATCACTCAGCATGAGTTGGGGCTTGCACCTGTGTGTGTGGGGGAAGAGGGTCCCCAGAGATACTATATCTTGGGAAAATTCTCAAGAGCATAATGTAGCATTCACTCTCATTGGAAATAACCTTTATTTCACCAGAGCTTTCATTTTAGTCTGTGCTGCCAGATGAAGGATGCAATAAGCCTGATTAAGTTTGAATGATTTATATATCTGCAGCACATTGAGTCCATAATTAAGACAATGGGGGACAGAGGCCCCAGCTGTGATGTGCAAACAGAGACCTTCACATGTCAGACAAGAGAAGGGTGTGTGAGAGGATACAAGTTAAGACTGATAGAGTATTGATCAGTGTACTGGGTGTCAGACTGTGTATATTAGTATCTTCTTACATCTTTTGGAGCCACATCAGAAGAAAAGAGGATTAAGGTGGGTTCTCCAGTAACTTAAATTTGATTAATTTACTGAATTACAGTGAGATGTTAAACAAGGGTCAGTTGGGAGAAAGCTGACTGAAATATGTGCCTGTGGTAGAGGCTGGTATTGTGAATCTGGAAAAAGAGAGTGGGGCCATGGTGAGGACCTGCAGGAACCTCCATGGAAAACCAGAGGAGGAATCAGGAAGATCCTCTCACTGACCCACTTAGGGAAGAGGAAAGAGGAAGTGACCAAGGCAGGTAAATGAGGGCAGGACTGCATGATGAGCAAGGAAGCTAATTGTGTTGAAAGCAGCCGACAGATCACGGAGGATGGGGAAATAGTAATGTTCAGTTTTGGTTGAACACAGTTCGGGGGAGAACAATTTGAAAGGGATGAGAGCAGGAAGCTCATGTATGTATGACAGGTGTGTTTGTGTAATCATATTGCAAGTAAAATGCATGAATATCAGTAAGGTGAATTTGTGTACAGTGCACTATAACTTCAGGATAAGCAAAAG